TACACTACTTGTAAAATCAATAATACACTACTACGTATCAATAACATATTTGATTTTATTTTTTGTAGTCACATGTACCAATATCACAAGTAGTGTATTGATACGTGCCCTACAAAAAATACACTTTGAACATGTGTCATTACATTAAATGATGGACGACTCAATAAGAAAATCATCAGATGACTCTATAGAATTTGTGTCGTGTTGTGTTAAGAATTTCCTATTCTTTTTGCTTTGCTTTTATTTTCCTTTTGCCCCTTATATGTTCTGGTGTGCCCTGTTAGAATAGATTTGAGAATTAATTTCACAAAATCATGATTTAATCAGTTTACCTAAAAGGAGGGAACATATAATTATGCACAGTTAAGTTCCCATAACAAATTCATTTCTTTTTTTTTTTTCTTTTTTAAATTCTCCTCTTTTTTCCTTGACTGAAAGGACTTGAATGGTATAATGCTAGATCATATGTATCCATCATCAGGCAATAGCCAAGGGAATGCTGAAAATCTGAACTGCAGTCTTAACAGCTTCGACATCTATGTCTACAAATTTTCCCTGTCTTGGTGACGTAATAATCGAGCACTTTTTTCGCTTCATGGTTGGGAATCGAACAACTTTGCTTTGTCGTCGGAACAGAACAATGCCACACTATACAAAGAAAGGCAGGCAATCAGCAGTACAATAACTCCATCACGAATTATAGGTAGTAGTTAGCAAAAAACCCCTGGAAATAGAAGCTGATACTTTAGGTGCCAATGCAGTATACAACAGAAATTACATTATTTACACTTAGACAATATATTACATTCTCTACAGTAAAGTTTTGGAGAAAAAAAAAAATGTCCATATTTTTGCCGAATATCGGTCACACGAGTCAGACAGTAGTAGTTTCCACTTTGTCATGGAATAGGATAATAATCAAAAATCGGAAACACATATTTTGACGTTGAAATCGGTGTGCTTGAGCACCATTTTTGGTACAGCCATAAGTTAAAGAACTTAATAATTTGTAATTCTACCAGCCAATTACTATGTCAGCAATGCATATACCTTATGACACTAGCAACCTATCTCATCCCATATTTCAATCGGTAGCAAGCTACCAATGTCGCCTCTGGATTGAATTGAAATATTTTCCCTTCACGACCCCAGCACTCTTGTATTTTTCCTCTACTAGCTCCTTTTAACTTCTTCGATCGAGATGGACACATTTAGAGGCAGTACAGGCTATCTCGGGACACTACGAAAAAGGTCTTCCAAGCTCACAAAGTGGGCTCGAACGGCAGCAAACTAGCTCCAGAAAGCACTCTAGCAAGTTCCAAACAGCAGCGACAAGGCCGCCTGGAAGCAGTCTTCAATCCCTGAAAGACACAACAGCTAAGGAGCAGGTTTTGCACCCACAGCATAGCAGCACTTTAAGTGTGTATAGCAGCTACAGCCACAAACAGAAAACTAAAACTGATTAATAATTGAGAATTGAGGAAAAAAAAACCTGAACTAAAATTAATCAAGAGAGGATGAGATTCAGAACGACTACACCCTTTTACGTGGATAAATACGGGGCTAACACGTGAAGTGTTAAGGCTCAGACCCCATATGATTATACCCAAACCTTCCATATCACAAAGCATTGCACAAAGAAATCCTCCAATTAGAATTGTATGATAGTAATACGCTATCATACACACACGCAGTGCACAGTTTTTCCATTATCTATTTTTCACTCATACTCACAAAGCGCTCACGGGCATTCACAAAGAGCACCCTTTATTTTCTTTATTGTCTTACTCCTTTTTTTTTTATTATTATTATTATTAGTTTTGGTGACACAAACACACAAAAAATAAGGAGATGGGCGGGTAGACCAGCCCATGAAGGAGTTTTTCTTGAGCCATCCAAAAGGTCATTTGAACCACAAAAAATAACATCATGCTTGCCGTCGACAAACAGGCTAAACAGCGAGTCGTACTCCTTATCCAGGTCGTCATGCGAGTCGAATATCTGAACCCACGGGTCTTTCTTCGACGCGTACGGGCTGCTTGAGGCGGCGGGTTTGGAAGTCGAGTGTGAGGGATTGTTTGGGATGGGAAACGGCGGGCTTGAATAACGTGGGATTCTTGTCAAGGATGGGATTGGGTTTGCGCGCAGCGGCGCAGGGGATTGGCATTTGGCAGCCATATTCTTGGACAGTGGCGAAACCAGCCGGTCATCCCGGGGAGGGCCCAATTTGCCGCGGCGCACCACTCCTACTCCGGCATCGGAAGGACGCTCAAAGGGCTTTTGTGGACGCTCTCAATAATTTTCGCAGGATATAAAAGAATACTCTAGAGATTTTTCTAAAAATCAAACTAAGTCCGGAATTAAACTGGTATACTTAAACTGAATTGTTTTAACTCGAAAAATACTCGAATTTATACTAATACAAATCTCGGACTCAATGATAATAATAATCAAGAATTATACTTCCTTTCGAATAGACGAAAAGCTGGAAAAATTGAGAAAACGAAGCTCGAACGATCGAACTCGTCCTCGACAAATTTGCTCATTTTGATACTATTTAACGCAGAAATTCAAACTCCCATAATAAATGCTCGGAACTCCGAAAAATGCGAAATTTGTTTGTATGGAATCATGCTTGAATTGTCTACGCGCTCCAACTCGATTCTCGTTAAACCAAGGTCACATGCAACCTTAAGGAACCCCGCAAAACGGCTTTTTATTCTTCTATTATGCGCACTCGACTTCAAGCTTCTCAAAATAAATGCTCGAAACTTCGAAACGTGAAATAAATTTTACGAACGGCTTCTACTGTTCTCGTGCTTTCAAGAAAGCACTCCCGTTAATTTTCAGCACGCCTAACGAGGGCCAACGGTTACCTGAAGTCTAGACATAAAAATGACAATAAAATCACCGCCACTGCTATTTTTCTCTCAACTTCGGGCTACCCAAAATAAATGGTCGGGACCTCAAAATCATAAATCGATGCCACCAGCGGACTCTCCGCTTCCCGTACTTTCATAAAAATATTTTTCGGTAATGATCGACTCGGTTTTTGAGTCCCGTCGGTACACCGCAAGTCTGCTAATTAACCAACTCAAAATATAATAAAAATGAAAAAATTATTAAATTATGTTGTTGTTATAGTTCTCCTTGTCCGAAACCAGGATGCCATTTCGGGGAGGACCCAATTTGCCTTTAAAAAAAAATTTCACGACAAAACCATTGGCGCCCCTCCGGCCATGTATGTACCGCATGAAACCGGGGAGGGCCCAACATGCGCGCTCAAAGGAAAATCTTCCAGTTCCAGCAAAATCCTCCACCCTTAATTTAAATTTTTATTTTTTTTTGAGGGGCCGGCGCCACTCCGGATTTGTGAATGGTTTCGCCCTGTTCTTGGAGCTTGCAAGTGTAAGAACTATTTTTTTTTCCCTTTTTTTATTTATTCTTTCTTTTAATTTTGTAAGGACTAGTGGCCATGGTAAGTAGTAGAAGTGCTCATTGGTTGATATAATTCGGAGATTGAAAAATAGCCGTAACCGTACTGAAATTTGGAAATCACTAAAATTATTTTTGGAACCGTACCAAAAAATCGGAACGATGCGGTTAAAAGATTTTTAGTTTTCGGTTCGAATCAGAGAATTTTTTTTTTTGGTTTATTAATAAACCGAAAAAGATTTATGAAACGGTACAGTCAGGATTATCGAGGCGGTACAGTTCGATTTGGTTAGGTTGGAGCTCTGGAAATTTCTATTTATTTTTAAATTTATTTGAATGACTAGCTTGTTATATTCAAATTTCTATATGGTTTACAAAAATCCAACAAACATTATCAATACTTCACCATATTAAAAATTTTATTTTGAAATCAATTTTAAAAGTATTCAGAACTTTGGTCAATACTTAATTTGTGCAATTAATAATGAAAAATTAAAATTCAAACAAAATATAATATTCTTTACCCTTTCATATCATTTTAAGTATAGATAAAATGAGACTAGGGAAAAGTATCAACAAATTTAAGTAATTTAAATAGTTTTTTAATTTTTTTTTTAAGAAAAATATTTTTTTTACCTTTTATACAATTCTAAATAATATTTTTGAAAAAAAAAAAGATTAATTTTAGATCGAGTATTACTGAGCAAATTTTTTTTATTGAAATGTAATTTTTATTACTATATTTATTTGAATTTAAAAAATTCTCAAATTATATAGATTAAAGTTGTCATAAAATTTTTAACAAAACGCATTTAATGTTATGATTCGATTCTTAATTTCGGTTCTTCGGTCTGGTACGGTATGAGATGGTTTGGTTTGGTTCTCGATATGAGTATTTATAAAATCTCCAGAACCGTACCAAATATTTTGGGTTGGGTTGAGTTCGGAGAAAGTTAAACAACCAACAATTATTTTTTAGTTCGGAGTAATTTGAATTCGGTTTTTAGACTTAAGAATTATCCGAGTCCCATTCTCTATGTGTCTCATTAAAATTAAAAAAATAAGAAAAAAAAAATGAAGGACATTATGCTTCGTTTTGAGAAAGTTAATTAAATGTTGCATTTGTTTAATTAGAAGAGGTGTTAAACGAACCGAACTGTTCACGAACAATTCGGCTAGGCTCGTGAAAAGTCATGTTCGATCCGTTTTGTTTACTAAACCAGTTCGAACAGTTAATCAAACTTCTTTATTAAATGAGCCGAGCAGAAGATATTCGCGAACTACTCATTATTTTTCTTTTATTATTTCTGGATTCTAAATTAAGTAGTCAAGCCGAACTAGTTCGTAAACAACTCGTTTAAGGTGTTAGGTTTAAGGTGTATTAGACATGTCAGCATAACAAATGAATGGAACACCAGGGAAAAAAAGACCGCAAATAGAAAAACACACAAATTCAGTGGAAATGATCTCTTATAATCCGACTAATTTTTTTCTATGTCAACAAGGATTAAACTATTTACAAGAAAACTGGACGATAGAAGCAAAGCGATTTGATTCTATAGTTTTCACGTCCGTTTATTCTGCTGAAGAAGCTTTCCTGAAACAGCAGCCGCTAATGCAGCTTTGAAAGTGGGGTCTTTAGTCAGAGTGGAAGCCATTTGCTCCACAAAGTACTGAGGAAGTACTAGTGGCGACTCGGATTTTTCCCTTGAACTTCCCGTCTCTCGGGGAGTTGGGTTGCGTTTGGTCAGGTCGAGTGTGATTGTTTGAGCAGAGGACCCCTGAGCATTTGAGCGCGGGGCATTGCCAGGTTTCATGCTCCTGTTGGATGTGGGACTCGAATCGCTCTTCAAAGGGTGGGGATGGTTGTGTTCTCCTTCGTACGTCGCAACTACTACCGACTCATCTTCTACACTCCTTTGCACCTGATCAGAGTGTCCCAAAGCAAATTTTGTCTGATGAGAAAAATCTTGAAAGTTTGTGTCATTTTAATATGGACATAAACAAATTAAAATCTGAAATTTTTACCTTCTTCTTGACTGGACAAGTAGGAGCAAAAGAACACCTGAAGTAAGCTCTTGGTGAAGGATTGTCCCTAGTCACCTTCTGTCCATATTTCCTCCATTGATAACCATCCTTCACTATCTGCAATTATGTATAAATATACTCTATCAGACTAAATCTCGATAATTTTTTAACGGCATATCGGTTTTCTATTCACATTCTACACAAATTTCTGGCAAATTTTTTGCGACTTTCCGGAAGTACTCAAATCCGGGACTTACAAGGCTGGTATCGGATGCTTCTGTTCGGACACAAACCCGCGAAATCTTGGCCTTGACGATTTCCTCCTTTGGTTTCTTGAACGAATGATCCTCGCCACTCGAGCTGCTGTCTGTGGACCCCGCATTAACATATGTTCGTTCGACAACAATATTATCGCTGCCTTCGTCGATACCGACCATCTCGGCCTTCCTCTTTCTTGATGATGTAATACCATTCTTATTGTTATTTGCATTTCCCACCTCACAATTATTGCCTGTGTACTCCATTAACTTGCTTCTTAGCTCGGTATATTGTTCGCAAACCACGGTTAGCATTTCAGTTAGCTTCTTGTTTTCGGCACTCACCCTATTCAGCTCCTCCATCAAAGCCCATCTCTGCTTAAGGAGTAAAAACAAAAAGTGAAAATGGACCCTTCATTTTTAATCAACATTTCCATTTTGACCATAACATTTTACCTATGATCAATCATATTAAGGTTTGTTTTGTATGTGCTCTGTGTGTGTGTGTGTGTGTGTGTTACAGTTCAAGATCAGAGCTGCTAACCTCTTCTGCAACAGTGACACTTCTTCCCGACTTAATGAAATTATCTTCAACTTCTTGTTTCTGAAATTAGAAGGAACATTAACAAATTAAATATATGCCTAACTCATATGTAAACTCAAATTCATGCAATTTAAAGACCAAAAAATTTCAATGCAACTAAATGTAATACAACTGAAAAGGCTCCAAATATAAATATGGGAAAATGCTACTGTATCATTACGGAATCATTCCGCCAAGATTTGTAACTGTTAGATATCATGTAACCGTCATGAATAGTTGATCTAACGGTTACAAACCCCGACGGACTGGTTCCGTAACGGGGACCGTATAATCACCCATAAATATGTACCTGAGTTTCATCAAGAACTCTGACAGGCTTGGAGTTAAGATCCAATGAGGTACTATTCATTAGGCTACCCAGATCCATGTGACCTCAGTCTTGAACAAAATTGATGAAATTTAGTGCAATGTTTTTTTTATCTTTTTTTTTTTTGTGTTGTTTTTTGT